CGGTATGAGACAACGTGTCCCAACTCCCATACATACAGAACCTCGATGGAGCCACCAATGCTGGACATGTTCACAATGGCAGCCTTGCTGCAGCTCAGCCCTGAGCCTGGGCTCTCCTGGGCAGCCTTCTTCAGCAAGGGCAGGAATGCCTGTGAGAAGACAGAGGGGACAGGAGCATACACGGACATGGCACAGGGCAGGGGAGAAGCTACTTCCAATCTGGTCAACAGTGACACCAGCCGTGGGGCATCCTGTCTCTTCTTCCCTGCCAGGCTCCAGTTCTTGAGCTCCAGCCCCTGCTTCTGCGATCTTCTCATCAACTGAGACCCCATCGGAGCACCAGAACAGGGACAGGAGTCCCTCCCACTGGCCCTCCACACCCTCTACAATGTCCAGCTTGAGGACGTAATGAAGGAATCTAACTGGAGCTATATGTTGTAGTGCTCGGGACTCACCTGGCCCATCAACATGGGTCCAATGGTGTTGGTGATATAAGTCTCGCTCATCCCCTCTACTGACTCATCATCAAGGGATTTTGGCCTTGCAATTCCAGCGTTGTTGATGAGGAGGTTCAGCCCAGAGCCCCCCAGGTGCTCCCCAACCTTGGCTGCAGCTGCCTTGATGCTGGAGGGATCAGCGACTTCTGCAGAGGCAACACAGGGGAGGTCAGAGCCTGTATCCCCATGGTGGAGTCCCCTCTGTTCCCCCAGAGGTGGCAGTGCCCGATGGCCCTGCAGGCACCAGTCCGTTGGCACAGCTCCCTCCCAGCACGGGGCTCCCAGGGTGTGCCCAGCCTGGGCACTCGCCAGAGGAACTGGGGCAAAGGATCCCCAGCTCGGGGCACCTACCGAGCGGGATGATGATGATGTTGGGGTGCTTGGAGGCCAAATTCTGTAACTCCTGAAAGAGAGGGCACTGTGTAGGCATGGGGAGGCTGGAGGGGCTGTGCAGAGGCTCAGCCTTTCCCAGGTAAGGCCTGCATTGCTCTGGCTCCATCCCTGCACTACCATGGACCCCGCACTATGCTCCAGCTGCCCTGAACCCAATGGATGGGGAGGACTCCATGACCAGGCACCACAGTTCCCACCACACATCCCATGCACAGCTGTTCTCATGTTGTCTCAGCCCTCCTGCCCTGTGCCTCATGTGCCTGACTGAATGTCCAGACACTTGCCAGAGCCCTCCCTGTTCCAATCTCCCCCTGGCACTGAGTCCTGCAATCCCCCAGCACAGCCACTGCCTCCCAGACCAGACTCACCTACGCTCTCTGTCCAGTGGGGTCCCGGCAGCCTGCAAAGATCCACTGTGGTGGTTTTGGCATCCTCAGGAAATGCTGGACAAGTCCCAGGCCAATGCCTCGGTTGGCCCCAGTCACCAGAACGGAGC